CCATATTACCTATCTTGTTTTAGCTAAAACATGAAATCCCATAAGTAAAAGCGAAGGTTCTCCTACGTAAGGACAAATAAAATTTTAACAAGGTGTCACTGTCTTAGACAATGCTGGTTCAACTATTTTCTTTTTTGGAGAAGAGGACATGTTATATTTCAAAAGTACATTATAATACAGAAATAGTCATTTTCATTATACAAGTATAGAAATAATATTTGTATTTTACTTCACAATAAATACAAAAGTGCTTACTGAAAGTAGATATTAACATTGGAAAAAGATTTCCTCTCAGGAAAGATCACAACTATGACTTATGACAAGTTGTATAATTACCACTAAATCTAATTTAGTGTTCAGAGTATTTAAAAGGTACAATCTTGAACTAAAATAAACCTAAGTCTACCAATAAATAGTTGTATATACTTTATATAAATAATAATTTTAAAAACCAAAGCACAGCACCTTTGTTTTAAAGTAGGTTTCTACCTGTCATAAGGGAAGGGTTGAGGATAGTGAATGTAGAGAAGCTAAAAGTGACTGAAAGAAACAAGAAAGTAAAAGAGCTGAACAGAAAATTTCAAAGGGCAGATCAAGAAGACAAAAGTGATGTACTACAAAGAAATATGCAAAGAGGAGTTAGAAAACTTAAAGAGGAGAGCATGCTTTGCTGCTCTCATACTGAAGGAACTGAAGAAAAACTTCAATTCTCCTGTTACAATATTAAAAGCTTCTGTAGGATAAGCAAGTTTCAGTGTCTCTTCTGACATCCATTTTGACCTTTTCCTTCTTTATTGTCTTCTTAATGACTTCTTGCTCTCTTCATGTATGATGTTCTTGTTATCCCACAACTCTTCTGGTCTACAGTCTTTAGTGTTTAATGTATCAAATCTGTTCTTCAGATGATCTCTAAATTCAGGTGGGATATATTCAAGGTCATATTTTGGCTCTCGTGGACTTGTTTTCATTTTCTTCAGCTTCAGTTTGAATTTGCATATGAGTAATTGATGGTCTGTTGCACAGTCTGCCCCTGGCCTTGTTTTCACTGATGATATGGAGCTTTTCCATCTTGTCTTTCTGCAGATGTAGTCAATTTGATTTCTGTGTATTCCATCTGATGTGGTCCATTTGTATAGTCGTCTTTCATGCTGTCTAAAGAAGGTATTTGAAATTAACAAATCATTGATTTTGTAGAATTCTATAATGCATTCTCCAGCATCATTTCTATCACCAAGACCATATTTTCCAACTACTGATGCTTCTTCTTTGTTCCCAACCTTTGCATTCCAATCACCAGTAATGATCAATACATCTTGATTCTATGTTTGATCAATTTCAGATTGAAGAAATTGGTAGAATTCTTCTATTTCATCATCACTGGCTTTAGTGGTTGGTGCATAAATAAAAGGTCAAAATGGATGTTAGAAGAGACACTGAAACATACTTTCCAGCGTAGAGATGCTAAAGCAAATGGAAGAAATGAGGAGGAACAGGAGTTGAACAGAAAATTTCAAAAAGATCAGCTCGAGAAGATAAAGCCAAATATTACAACAAAATGTGCAAAGATCTGGAATCAGAAAACCAAAAAGGAAGAACATAGTCAGCATTTCTGAAGCTGGGGGAACTGAAATAAAAATACAAGCCTCAGCTTTCATTATTGAAAGATTTTTCTGGGCAAATTATTGAATGATGCAGAAAGCATCAAGAGAAGATGGAAGGAAGTTCTGGTGGGCTTCCAGGATCCGGACTGCTACCTAAGTAAAAGAAGAAGACATCAAACTCTCCTCAGTTTGCACTGACTACTATTAGTGCTAGATCCCCAATGAGAAAAAGGTGTGAGGCTCAAGCACAGCTTCAAAAATTAATTCATTTTCATCTGTTCATTCTTTCTCTTTTTTTCTCTACAAGACAGAAAGATCATTGGGGAAAGGCAGGAACAAGAGCAGCCAGCACACATATAAGCTTCTCCTAAGAAGCATGCAGATGGTGAGACCTGTGGTCCCTCTCTCCGGAGGCATCCATGAGCAATGGCTCTACGTGCATCAGTTCATTTCTGTAAACCATTGGTTACAGCTACAGAGTAATACTGGTAACCCATTCTTATCAGTTGCTGTAAAATCGCTTTTAACTCGTGGTGACCCCATATGTTTCAGAGTAAAACTATGCTCCATGGGATGTTCATGATTGTGACCTTTTGGAAGCAGACTGCCAGGCCTGACTTCTGAGGTGCCTCTGGTGGGTTTGAACTGTGAACTTTTCTGTTAGTAACCGAGTGCTTAACTGTACCACACAGGGACTCCTAACTCATTCTTATTAAAAGTCTAAATTTGACCAAATACTTCTATTCTTACTTAAATTCAATCTGGGAATATTACCATGTTCAGTTAGTAGTCCAGATATTAATTTTCTCAAATTAATATCATCTAATGTCAAGTCCATATTAAAATTTCCACATCAACTGAGTTTTCAGGATGATGTCCTTCATCAGATAGGGTACCTTATTTTATTTCAGAACATAAAACATTCACTGCAAACAACACCCCAGCCAGATAAGTGGTACCTGTTTAGATTTGTGCTTTTTTGCACACCAGGGAGACACAAAGCATTCTGGGTTCATGTCCATGCTCTCCACTCTGAAAGCTGCCGGAGATGCTGAGCTCCGGTTTTTCATTCTCAGGAATGAAAGGATGTTAAGGACCTCTGGCTGGTAGGAGCTGTCTGCGATGGTTTTGCCTTTTGATGCCAAGATGCAGGCAGCCATCCATCGGGCATACTGATTCTCCTGTAGCAAGCATGAGTAAGGAAGAAAAAGAAGTTCAAGTGCAAAGTCACCTACTGGGAACAGAACAGCCATCTCTTTTTATCTTTCCAGGAGGTGTGAAGCTACATGCCCATTCTAGGTGGCCGCCAGCCACTGAATTTAACACCCAACGGTAGATTTTGTGTCTTGTTCTCAGTTTCTAGATGGTAAAGGGTTAGCATATAGATATGTTGGCTTTGAAAATTCTGTAAACTGCTTATAAAGAAGAACCAATGACACAAAGGAGCATCATAGAGCACAGAGGATAGAAAACTCAGACTACCAGAGAGCCTTCCTGGAGATGTATTTCCATTTTTTATATGACAAAAGAAATCATTAACTGATTTCCCATGTTACTCTGATGCTAGCCCATCCTTGGTAAAGAATTGAATCCCGAGGTAGGGATCAATGCCACAGATGAGCTCCACACCGCTTCTATTGTTCCTCAGTGTCTTAGAGAAAGAAGAGGAGTGTGTGCAGTGGAAGCGAGGAATTCTGCAAAGAAACAGTAGCTATGGCTCATTGACCTCAATCCTCACCCTCTCATGTTCTTTGCCATGTCACATTACATTCCCTCCCATTAGAGCCAGAGTGGAATTCCTTACTCCTTGATTCTGAGCTCAGTCATGTGACTTGTTTTGGCCAATAGAGCATGGGTGGAACTGACAGTGAGTATTTCAACTGCAGCTTAGGAGATCTCACGTGGTTCCGGTTACCCTGTTGCATATTGTCATTACTACAAGAAGCGTTTTCTCCAGGCAGACTGGGACCCAGAATAAATACAAATGTCACAGAAATGAGCCCCAAACCTCACCAGACCTGTGACTTGAACCATATTTTCCCAGCTGACATTACAGCAACATGTTAAAAAAAAAAAAATGGTATAGAAGTGCTTACAAAATTACCTCCTGGGCCAGGGGAGGGAGTAACTGACAAATAAATGTAGAAAACCCATGTTTTCTGAGTAACAATAAGTCATTCAGAATAACCCAAGCCCATTCACCTGCAGATGCTTCAGAAACAAATGTTTGCTATTATATGCCATTGTGATTTTGTGGTTGTTTATTACAAAGTAATAGCTGAAGGATACAAGAAGTGTTCTGATTTGAGAAAATGTCTTATGTGTTTTGACTTTGGGTTTAATAAAGGGTGAAGTAACTTACACACACAAAAAAAAAAAAAAGAGAGAGAGAGAAGATGGAAGGAATACACAGTCACTGTACCAAAAGTAAATGGTTAATGTTCAACTGTTTCAAGAGATAGCATATGATGAGGAACCAATGATGCTGAAGGAGGAAGTATGAGGTACATTGAAGGAATTGGCAAAGAACAAGGCACCAGGAATTGATGGAATAAAAATTGAAATCTTTGAAGAAAGTGAGGTGGCAAAGGAGGCACTCA